AAAAGAAAGAAAAAGAAAGAAAAGAAAAAAAGAACCAATGCTGAAAATGGTTAGATGGGGGCAAAGAGGCCACACAAATAAGAGAGTAAAAAGCAAAAAGGTTGAGGCAAAAAGAGACAACGAAACATGACACGACGACAGAGCAGCGCAAGCACAACAGCGCAGGATATGACGAGACAAGACAAGACAAAGCAAATAATTAGCCGAACAGTCCTCGGTAGGCAAACATGGTGAAGCCATAACTGAATGAGACCTCAACCTGCGGAGTGGGGGTTCAAAGTTTATGAATTGGTCATTTACTCTGTATCTGTATCTGTATCTCTCTATCTCTCTCTGTATCTGTGCTCGCTCGTAATCATTACATGTAGGTAATAATGATAGTAGACTGTTATGCCGAAATGACACACCATCTCACCTATCGGCATCATTAAACTTAGTCTGGGCATTGAGCCGTTGCTCTCGGACTTGATCAATCAGACTCAGACTCTTAGTCTCTTACTCTTGCGGACCGCACCTCGTCCGTCCGTCCATCCGTCCACCTCATACTTGTACGGCGGACGGGTTGGCCCGGAGCTGCCGTGCGCATCATCAATGGGTGGACGGATATTGGATATAGATGCGCGTATGTACCAGTATGTCCATCAGTGACAAACGATAACTAAAGAGTTTGCCATATTATCCCGAGACTGGCCCAAGTCATCATGCTATTTTGAAATATTCGGGGTTCGCCAGACTTTGATTTGAATTGCATCGTCGTATCGAGCCTCCGCTTCGTCTCAGAGAACCAGGCAAAGGCATGAAGAACGTTCGTAAAGACCCATCACGCACAGGCACCTATTGACTACTAGGTCTGACTCTGACAGAGGCGAGCCATCAACGCATAGACGCATAATAAGAGCGAGAGAATCCTAGATTCATATGCTTGCTCGCCAGGGGTGGGACGGACTGGCGGGCTCAGACTCAGACTCAGACTCAGACCTGGAGGCAAGGCAATCAATCTTCCACCTACTTGTACTCCAGATACACCCATACCTGAGACAGACACTGCCCTTCCATGCGGTGTGAGAAGTGAGAAGTGAGAAGTGAGAATGAGAATGAGAGAAGAGGGACGTACCATGGCATGTACAGATAGAGACGGGCAGAGGCAAGAGGCAAACAGAAAAAGCTTGCAATGAGGTGACGAGCCGTTTCTCTTTGCTTTGCTTTTTCCCCCATGCCATGCTTGTGGGCTAGAGTGCTAGACTATGGCGGTATGGTATGGTATGTAGCAAAGTATCAATCCTTGAGAGCGTGATACCACCAAAACGTTGCGTTTTTTCTTTTCTTTTTTCCCCCTTCCGATTGTCGGTAGTTGTCACATGAAAAGAAATGCCACCGGGATCTGTTTCCGTCTTTTCGCATCCTTGAAAATTCAACTTTTTTTTTATTGTGGCAGATCATTGCAGCACGCACATAGCCACATACATCACATCGCAAGCTAAACCGTTGCCTCTTGCGCGAGGTATCAATGTATGTCTGTACTGTATTCAGTGATTGCTGCACACTAATGCATCATTAGTAGGTGAGCGTCGCGTTCGTTTGATTCATCAACCATAATGATGCGAAATTGCGGACCCTCTGCAGGTGCAACATCAAATTATAGTCCAACAAAGTGAGGCTGTTTGACCTGTAGTAGCTAGGCAATTCAACCTCTCTCGATCCATACCGAGCGTCCCATGAAGCATACATCCCAATCACATTCAATTCATCGCAGTATGTAGATTCAAGTCACGCACGGAGCCTCGACCCCGACAGTATCTCAGGCTTGTTCCACGTGGGTTAGTAGGTTGGCAGCTTTCATCGAGGCCATGTCCAAGACCGTGCGGTGTCGGTTGATAAGGTTGGCGGAAAGGCCACCAGACTACTCACATTGACAGGCCGTACTAGCATTGTAGACTGTTGTACCACTACCAACGACCAAAGGCTTGAAGGATACGGTTGAGGCAGAATCGCTGTTTCGTTTTGGCCTCTGTATCCGTGTTTCGCTCGTATCACACGTAGGTATGTATCTGTACACCGGAAGGATCTATTATTGTCATGATGTGGATTGTGTGTGGTCAAAATGGTGAAGCTCAAAGTGCTCCTCCATCAACAGCAATGCACAATGTCTTGCATCAAACAAACCACAAAAGAAACTTGCTTGACTCGGATGGACCGAGGCTCTTGACCTCCCGCTCCATACATACATACATACATACATACATACCGTCGTAGATCGTCAACATGGATCGATAGAACTCAATCCGAACCAGTTCATCTTCTCGAGCGTCGAGGTGTGATCCTGCGCGATGCTGGGGTGCGATGTGAAACCTTCGAGAAGTCCCAAGGACATGGTCGGCGGAATGGCCAGTCGTCTTGGACAAGGTAAGCTAGCGTTGGCTCCGGTTATTATCCAGCCAGGGGGTACCCCGGCCACCAGCTGATTTTGAAGTTTTCTCCAGTCCGTCCTCCACACAGACGCTCTCATTTTATCTCTGTGGTATCACGCTCTTGAGATGACTCGCGGTCCAGTGGGCCATCCATTCATTCATATCGACTTTTACGGATATAAACGCAACAGTCAAATCGAATCGTCCATGTACAACGACCGGTATCACCACCAGCCAGCCTCCAGGCACATCCGATCCTGCATCGTGGGTCTAGCCAATTTTGAAGAGCTGCGGGTGTGACAAGGCAGCCCCCACTAATTCTCATCCTGGGTGCATGAACGCATTGGATTGCCGGGTGTCCTGGACCTGGCTGGCTGGGGACGTAAGACAAACGTTGATCAGTATTTGGCATCCTCTTACTACCCTCTGATAATTCAGGCATCGTCTCACACCGAATATCTGCCAGTCCAAGAGGTTTCCCACGGCGACACCACCTTTTAGCAAAAACGAGAGCTATGAGATGGCCTGGACGGGTCGTTCATACGTAGCCACTTAGCATCAGCTCATGATTTTCATCAAGCTGAACTATAGATTTGACTCTGGTCAATTAACACGGGACGACGATACTCTTTGGGACTGGCTAGCACCAAACTAGGTCAGGCACTTGTCTGTACGGATACATATGTGAACAATCTGAGTCCTGAGAGGCGATCTTCCAGAATCATGCCAGTAGGAAGGGTCCGGGCTGAACAACCAGCATATTGATTCGTTCGAGACTGTATGTATTTGGCCGGGCTGAAATCCGGGGAGCGTCCCAAAGGCCGGAGGACAGGGATTATTACAGCCTAAGTCTCCGGGGACCTTATCATCCAGACTGGCTGGCCACACGGCTACCTATCCGGGCCGTTGCCAAATCTCCAACGAGTCCCGCCAGTCCATCTCGAAACAGGGGGCCCCCTGACAGAGTGGCACCACCGGGGACACCCCTGGTTCGACCGTCCATCAGGGTCCCATCCACTCCTAGACGGTACGGTCGACCTAGGCCCAGGTGAAGCCAAGCAACTCGCCTCCCAGAGACGCTCTACTGGGACGGACGTCATGATGGTATCGACAGATGTGTTGAGAGGTTTCATTGTGAGAATCGACTACACACCTTGAATGTACACTTCTCCAGACGAACACCGGTGGCTAGTTTTGTCAATTGAGAGAAAATACATGTTCAAGAATATTGCGCCACAGTGGAAAGGCATTTGGGATTCCCAATGCGAGAACTTCTCTCACAAGCCCTGGCAGCCGCGGACACGGATTCAGATTGCCTACAGTCTGGGGCGGTTAGGCGTAGTTGGTGGCTCGCGGAACAAAACGAATCCAACACGTCGGATCCTCTCTTTTGCCTCGCTCTCAAAAGTGGTTAGCTCCCACTGATACATATGTATCTAACTCGGCCAAGCTTGCACACCCACCCGCTGCTGCACCAGGATGTCGACACCCGGCTCCGCGAGACCAGAGCCTGCCACTAGCAAGACGATGGAGCTGTCGATGCCCTCAATGTTGAGGGCCTGTGCCATCTTGTGGTCTCTGCACGACGGCGGTGTCGATAGCTTCAGAGCACGCTCTTGCAGAGACCTGTGAGGTGAAGAGAGTCTGCAAAAGGCCCACAAAGAGGATCAGCGGAGCTGATAACCCGGGCGAGCATACAGTACTGGCACAGAGGTAGTCGACTGACGGGCGGCCCAATAGCCCCAAACTCTTCAACATAGTCAACGCAATCGAGTAGCTTGCCACTAATCATGTTTGCAAGTGGCCCATATTGATTGCTGTTTGCATTTCTAGGGCCATCGCTTAAGATAGGCCACAATGATGCGCTGGGAAATCTTTTCGGTTGGGCCAGAAACCATAAACAGCTACGTTGGAATAGACCCTGACAGTTTTGCTGTCTTGTACATAGCTGGTGATCTCTTTCTACTGAGCTATATCTGTACTTCGATGTGATCTAGGAATATGCGATGCGCCGCCCGCCTTTTAGGCAAAGGTAGGGCCTTGTTCTTTTGCAATCTGAGAGGTCTGAATATGTTTGGCCGTGGTACAAAGCCGTATACTCTACCAAAATGGCTTGCAAGGAAACCGTTTGTGTGACAGCCACAATTGGCTTTTGTTCTTGTTCCTGCATAACGGTGGCGGTCGCTTGGGAAAAAGCCCTGCCTGTTGTGTTTCTGCATCAGATTGGAACGTTGTCATGCAAGGTACGAAGAGTTGCCACCAATAAGTCGACATGGGCCAACGAGGGGGTCGCCCTACTAACGACACGAACTCACCTACAAGAGCTGACCCGAGCTGTCAACGGATCCTTGAGGACCTAGCAGGCACCCCAGAATCGTTAGCTGCCCAGCTGTTGGAGGCTATTTTGATGGATGACTTATACCTGAGAGGAAAGTTGAGATGCTCTGTTTATCAAAGAACATTGCGGGAATGATGTGAACATCAAGTGCTGTCGGAGGCACCTGTAGGAATTGCTCAAACGAAACAACTGTATATGATCATGGCCTAAAGTCTGTGGCGGCTCCGAGCCGGCAGAAAGATAATGACGAGTTTTTAGTGGTGAAGATCTTCAGGAATATGGCATGGGCAAGCGTCTTTGCGGAGAATAGTTCAGTGAGACGTGTGAGAAGGTTTGTATGGCTTTGCATCTGAAGGATTGAACAGACGTACAGTACAGTACATCGAGCGGGCGCTCGGATGCATAAGGACGCACAAGTACTGACCAACAAGGGACAAGACCGAGTCCATCTTGGGACTAAAACATCAGAATGGATTGAGTAAATATGGATCCTCGTGTGCATGTGCGAGCCCAGGTGCTTGTGCATATGTGGCTTGCATCAGGAAATGAGAAGTCGATTTGTGCTTTGATTGTGCGTGGGGATGCGTCCAATGTGCTCATTTGAGCAAGTGATCCATGCACTATCCCACATAATAGCATCCTCGTATGAACTGTTCCTGGCTAATGCAACCCCAAAGCATAGCACCACAGTCAGGCACAGCGACTTTGTGCATCAGCTAAGGTTTCAGGATTGGGGATACCCTTATGCTGGCCAATGGGACACAACCCGAAGCTCTATCCTGGCATCGGCCGACGGTCACAATTCGGTCCTGCCGTTCATAATAGGCAAGGTTAGAAATTATCAGTTATCCACTACTTCGTCTAGTCCGTACGCTGGTCCGTAACGTCGCGTCGTTCTCGAGCCTCGCTCGAGGAGAGGAGATGATCGAGTATAGTGGGTCAAACCAAGGTTGAGTTTTTGATGGTGAGGCGGAAACACGGGTAGAAACATTCGTATCAGAGACATCCAACGGAAGCCGTAAGAAGGCGAGACAAGGTTGGAGGACCACAAGCTATTGTCAATGCCAAGATTGAGTGTGTTCTGGATTTCACTCATGAATCGCGTGCAGTATTGATATCATCACTGAAGTGTTTCACCTGTCCAAGATGAGTTTGACCATCGAAGGGTTCCGCACCGACGGTTTGGGACCTTCTGGAACGTCGAGCTTCCGCCCGAGGCTAGATAGAAGATCGCATGGTTCTGTACATTGGCCTGCGGGTATGGAGCCTCATAAGCAAACATGTCAATTGCTCCGTTTGGAGTCTGTAATAATTCGGGGACATTACCGTCCGGGGCCAGGTGTCCCAGAGTATTGGAAACGATGTACTCCGTACGTATGTACGGATACTAACAGTATGCTTTCTGTCACAGCAGTCGCTTGGTCTTCGGTTTGCTGGAGAGCTCAAATTACTGTGCTTTTCACATTCGAAGTGCAAGACATTAGGCGAGATTTCTCTCATTTGGATACCGACCAGAAAAGGGACCCTGGTCCCGGCTTCCCGCTGAAGATTCATATGATCTAAATGGAGCTTTTGCTGCTGTGCAGATGCTCGTCTTGCGGGAAGAGGCGACCATTCATCGTTTCATATAGATGCCATTAACATGAGGGAACCCTTGAGATGAGGTCAAAGTTGGGATGACAGCCGCTTTGGCGCGAGAAGAGACCGTCGGACGCAGCAGGGAATCGAAAACATGGTGTTCCCGAACATCATATTAGAAGCCCGTGTTAGTGCAGATCTCGATCTGAGCGGTTTCCAACCATGTGGCCTGTCTGATCTGATATCGTACCTATTCTGACTCGCTGTGGGCGCAATGGTGAGACGAAATATAGCCAACAAGCTGGAACAGGAAGGCACCGTTCTGGGCGAGTCAATTCTGGCTCTTTGGCCATGATGATTACAACAAGCATGAGTGTGGTGCCATTGTGACTGTTGGTCCTGATATGAAGTTGCTTGACTCGCTGTCGTTGCCAACAGCCTATTGCAGTATGGCACAGATGACCGAGCTGCACTACCCAACGTGCACTGGCTTGTTCGTGCGCGCATGGCGGTTGGGATAGCTGGGGGAGCTGAATCTGTGGCGTATTTAGAGGACCATGGTGCTCTTGGACCGTAGGTGATTGGGGCATTGAGGTGGACCGTACCTACTACGTATGTACTGTACATACGGATGGAGTTTGAAGAGAAGAGTAATTGGAGTACGGATAGTTAGTGAGTAGGTAATGGAGGCAGCCTGGGCAAAGTCCAGACAGCGAACAGGCGCATTTGAACGCCCAGGCCAGGCGGGACGAAGCCAGTTTAGTGAAGAAGCCAAGACTCGATCGCACAGAACCTTCCCAAGAAGGGACTGGAAGTTGTTGACAATTGGTCGGGTTGGGGGCCGGACGTCAGTCTCCAGGGTCATGGATTATTGTATGTATGTACGGAGTACGCACTACTCCGTACGCAGTGACGGGATGAGATGGATGATGTGGACATTCAGGACTTTGGGTTTGCTGGGTATCTTAGGATTCTGACAGTCTGGGTACCGACTAGTCCTTATCCTGGGACGTGGAAGCTGGGATGCTTCTCTGACGTTACATTTAGAAGCCCTCGCGGCTTCCATTGGATCCGTTGGCCAATTAACAGCCTTCACTACAAAGGACGGCTGGCTGGGTCATGCTTATCCTTGTTTGAACGGGCATGTCAAATTAGGTACTTTATCCTCCGGGAAGCCAGATACCAATTGTTATGTAAGTAGGTACTTACCTTGGGTCAGGGTTGGTTCCTAGTACCTACCTAGTTGACGATCGCATGACTGAAGCAATGATATTGAGCCCTCCCATACATATATTACAAGTATGTAGTATGTAGATAGCCTCGACAATAATGGAGAGAAGCTTCGGAGCACAGTGGCCAACAATTAGTACCTTCGACTAGGTACCTAAGCATGGGTAAAAAGAGATACGGCTGTGTCCTGCACAACGCAATGTAGGTACTAATGTAGGTAGTTCCAAGGGACGGAAAGCTGTGCCTGCAGTGCAGCAGACGACGTTTCTGGTACCTGAACGGCAGAGCATTTACGCAATGAGTTTTAGTTTAGGCTTAGGTAGCTGTCGCCCATCGTCATACGCTATACGCAATAGATCGCCCACCACTCCGTACGTACATACGTCTTCTCATTCACAACTCAACTGGCGCGCGCAGCGCCAAACATGCTGGGTCATATGTATGCTGGTGTGTAGCAGATAATAATGTATCTTAAGTTCAGCTCAGTTCAGGTACGAGATGCTAAGTTGCATTAGTGAGTCGTATGTACATACCTGATAGGTTACCTTAGTCAGGTAATGCTTGGGCCCTTAGGTTGGTCGCAGCTTGACCTAACTGGGTAGGTGCCGCTGGCGCTCCGTCCCGTCCAGTTTTTATGCAGAAAGATATTGGGTGATGAGACGTCCAAGAGCGCAACCGGGCTTGCCGCATAAAATTAATTCTCATCTCAACGGGGCTGTGTGGCCTTCCCAAGCCAGGCAGGCAGGTATGGGCTACCTATTCTGGGCACCGATAACACGTTTGGATACAGCGCGGGCCAGTTTAGCGACCCCACACAACCATTGCTGGTCTCTTCAACCCCAACTTGTCGAATTTAGTGGCAACACTTCTGTATTGAGCGGTAACTTGGCTCGCCCTCAAGCACTTGACTCGAGGATGGACTTTGTCCGAGATGGGTATCTTTACATGCTGACAACGAGCTGTCACAGCATCGCGGTGCATATGCGAGTCAAGCAAGACATGCGAAGTGATAGGTAGGCAAGACGAGGTTTTCACTGTACATAGAGAGAAGGATGCATAGCAATAAGCAATCACATCAGCCATGTAGACTTGGATCTCGGACAAGAACTGCAAAACGGCAATGGATCAGTCTTGCGAATCACCAATCAGGCGTCCGTTTCTCTCAACGTCTACCTGTCATCAAAAGGTTTGGCTTATCAATCGTTGTTTCAAACTTCCAGCTATATTCAACCATGATTGACAAAGCTGTCCACCAACGAGGCTTGCAGCTCCATATCGTCATCTATACTCACGAGCTTGTGTCCAACCAGAGACCGAAGCGGCCAGTCGTCAACACAGGCTCCTTCTAACCTTGGACTATCTTACCAGTACGAAACAGCGACGGCTGCTTTTGACGGGATGGGTGACGTCGAACGCTCCACAGAGTCGAGTACATACATATGTATGTACATAATCTGCGAGAGCCCGCGTCGAGGTGATCAGCCAACTTAACAAGTCTGGAAATGAAGCAAGCGTCGTCTGTACCTTGCATAGCACATCCAGAGATGCATCGGGTGGAGGTGATACAACATAGCCCGGCGAATGGAAGCGTGCATATCGGCGCCGTCGAGTGTGCAATGGCAAAAATGGACATGAGGAGGTGCACA